TCTCCTCTCCTGCAGGAGCTTCTTCTCCAGCATGCGTGTTAAGGCACGCCCTCACTCTGTGTGTGTGTGTGTGTGTGTGTGTGTGTGTGTGTGTGTGTGTGTGTGTGTGTGTGTGGTGTGTGTGTGTGTGTGTGTGTGTGTGTGTGTGTGTGTGTGTGTGTGTGTGTGTGTGTGTGTGTTTTCTGCAGGAGTTTCTTCTCCAGCAACTGCCAGAGAACTCTCCCTGCCAGCCCCAGCCCTGGGGTATAGATGTGCCTACTGCCCAGGGCCCTGTGTCCTTCCGGTCAGCTGACCGGGGATAGGTGCTAGGGGGGTTGGTCTAGGGACGTGGCACTGGCAACCGAAGTCCTTTAGGTCAATCTGGTATCTTTTAGTAGACCAACTGAATAGTTAGAGAAAGCTGGGACAGTGAAGGTTTGTGTTCTGATTTTATAGAGAGGGGTTTTCCTTGATTGTCCAAAGGAGCTAAGCGGCTTATGGTTACTGAAATAAGAATATTTATAAAAGAATTGAATGGAAGTAACAGAGATTTTGTTTTGGATATATAAATGATGTGTTACTTGTGGTGTCTGATGGGTTATGTTGTGTTTTTCTGTCTATATATTTATTATTAAAAAAACCCTGAATAGTTAGAGAAATATATCTTAACAAGCTTTTGGGTTGAAAAATCCTTTGTCAGGCTGAGGAAGCACCTGCATTTGGTCTGTGTGTGTGCTGGTCCTGGATGGAAGGAATAGTAAAGAAGCCAGAGGCTGGCCTGGCATGCAATACAGGCAAGAAAGCCAGTCAGTGAAAATGGAAATGGAGGCATCAAGGGGTGAGGGACAGGCTGGGGTGGGGTGGGAAGAGGGATGTAGCAGCACAGGTAAAAGTGCAGAGGTACCGGGGGAGTCAGAGTCCGGCACGCTGCAGTGTGTCAGAGTTCCAAAGTCTATGCTGAGTCCACGAGTTTCGGTACCTACTACCTAGGAGGTTGATGAAGCGCAGTTCATAGGCCTGACTCTGAAAAGTGGTTTGTAAATTTAAATAAGCACTGAACCTTACTAAGCTAACCTCGTCACCAGAAGCCAACTTCCTACAGCTCAACACACAAAATCTGCCAACTATCTCCAGTACCCCAACAAACTGCTCACCAGAATCTATCAAAGGCAACAAAACCCAACTACCTGCGGGGGCACATTCCTCACCAAAAAGCCACTCTGTCTCCAGTCTCTCAGGCCTGATCCTGAAAGGGAATTTACTTTTCACAGCCGGGCCTATGAACTTCACTTCATCAGCCTCCTAGGTACAGAAACTCATGCCCTACTCAATATAATATTTCTTGCTACATACACATGGTTTTTATCTTTCAAACCATAGTAATTAGCTAGATTTTCTGTTAAACTGGAAACTGGACACAAATTCTGCATAGCATCTAAACTCATGCTAGGGTGCTCATGCTACAGACTCAACAACATTTGCAACTGACAGCTACGTGACAAGTCTGCCTATGACAGAGGCCACCCTGTTAGAATTTAATATTTATTCATGGAGTTAATGTTCAAGCAATTCATCCTGTCCCAGGTACATTAAGTTACTCTTTGGTATGGAAACAGCAAGCAGATGCTTTTTAAGTAGCAGCCACTGTATCTAGACTCAGAAAATATTCTAACAACGGGCCACACGCTTATCCACTCCCACCCAAAGCAATCCCAGACATTTAACTTTCCTATTACTGAAATGCATCCACATCATAGGAGACACACACAGCAATGCTCCACAAAAATTCACAACAGAGAATCCCTTAGCCAAAAGAAATGGCAGAGGAAGACAGCAAAATCGGACAAGAATGACCCAACTACAAATTCAGACAGGACAAATCTCCATTCCAGTTGCGGTCTTTTTTTTCCCCCCTTCCCCTGTAGAATTAAATCAAAAATTGTCTTAAGCAATCTGGCACTCAAAAGCTAGGAGATTAATTGAGTATAGAGAGGATTTTGGCAATCAAACTAGACCATAAAAGATGCACATTCTGCTAAGATCCAAAGTTTGTGACTGCAGTGTTTCATCACTGTGCATTTAAAATACACTTCTTCAGCGGAACATCACCTAAAACACCAGGCGAGAAAAGTACAGTTTACAGCATAAAACAACCTGTCTTTAGACTCAAGATTTTAACTTGCACATAATTGAGACTTTGTGTTTATGACAAAGCATATCATTTTATGGTTTATTCAGTTCATTTGGCTTGTTTCTGTACCTGAAGAGAGAGGCTTTGATTAAGATTAGGAGCCTGGGGAGTTATGTGTGGGTAGAACAGTTAAAAGACACAGGCTGCTTGACAGGGAATATGAAAGTATATTTTAATTCAATTTAAAGCCTGAGTAGCAGGTGTAAAACACACAGCACAAACTATATGGCATGTAAAATGAAGTCTTTCTTTTCCATAAGGTAGATACCACCTTGCAAGTTTGGTTCTGTGAGACTAGCGATGTAGGCAGAATTATTTATGTCCCTGTGTGACACCAAAAACTATATCCCTCTTATTGTGGAAAATGACCTAAAATATTTAGTTTCTGAGCATTGTATGGGCTATTTAACTCATACACAAGTCAGACATCTGGTGCTCCAGTGCACAGGGGGCCGGCCCTGGGAGCAGCTTGAGGCTGCTCAGGCCCCACATGGTGCACAGGTTGGCGCAAGGAGAGTCGACCCCAAGAGCAGCTCGAAGCTGCTCAAGTTAGCCCTCCCCGGTTTTAGGCCGGATAGTCAGAGACCCACAGTGTGGTGCAACATTGAACTAAAAGAGTCCCGGTGCCCAGAGCAGTTCCTGGGAAGGAAAAAGACCCCTGGCGTGAGGCCGGGGAACCAGAGCCAGGGAAGGCTTGGCTCCTGTAGGAGCTCCCAGGGTGCCCAGTGCAGGGCACAGGGTCCAGAGGGAAGGGTCCCCAGCTCAAGGCTGATGGCTCCAGGTGGCCTGAGACGGTGCGGGGACCCAGAGGCCAGATCAATAGCCTGAGTGGAAGGACTGTGAGTTACTGGGAACCCAGGTCCCACAGGGGAGGTGCCCCCAGGCAAGGGACCCTAGAAGGAGTGGGCAGGGGGGAAGGTCCCACAAACCCTCCACTCCCCAGGGTAGGAGGGGAGGAGACCCCAAATACACACTGGGGAGGGTCTGGTGGACCCTTTGAGGGACCAAGTGGTTGGAACCCAGATAGGATGCGTCTAATATCTGGTACAGTTATGCTTCATAGTTGGTATCTATTGCCATTGTTGGTCTTATAAATAGTTGGGTGTATTAATTCTGTATAATGGGCTCTGTAAGGATGTCTCTATTAGTTAACCCACTTGTGGTACAGACTTGCTGAATTGACTGTCCCAGGATCCACCCCTCTTCTGGGTCTGGGGTACAGGTACTTACCTGAATAACCTCCCTGGGGCAGACTTCCTCTTGCTACAGACCGTTATACGTATATTTGTATCTATACCTGTACCTGTATCTATTTTAAAGAGTTATATATATATATAAATGTTTGCAACTAAATAAATTGTATATAGTTAAAAACTTTGGGCCTGGGCTAACTCTAAAGAGGAAAAAGGGATCCGCCCTAAATTCCGGCATCCCTCTCACAGCACCCCCTCCTGCCTACCCATCCCATCCCATCCCATCCCATCCCATCCAATTGAGGATAGGGCACACTTTTGGGTGTACCCAAGTTACACATGGAAAACAATCATGCTCAACTGCAAGGGATTGGCAATGACACAAATAGACTACAAAGGCTTAGGTTCTATTCAAAGTGGGATTCAAACCAAGAAATATGGGGCAATTAAGCTATTCTAACTGAAGTCCACTGAGAAGGAAAGTGTAATGTTGCACTTGCAAAGTCTGTTACTACACCACATGTACACAGGACCCTTGCATCAGTAGATTTGGAAGGGCTTTACAAAGAAACTCAGTACCAACCTCTGCATTTCACAGAGGGGAAAATGGAGACACAGAAAGAAATGATTTGCCCAAAGTTGCCAGGTAGGGCTAGTGGAAGAGCAAAGAACAGAATCGGGGTCTCTTAGTCCCTGGCCTGTACTCTGTCCCAAGTGTCCTAATGTGTCCACATGCTTGCTGTCACTTCAATTTGGTCATTACTAAAAAAGCAGGCTGGAATGTTTAAATGAGGTAAAAGATTTGGGTTATTAAGTCACTACAGTTTTGAAAAGTTTTACCTGTGGTGCCCACTTCAGCTTTTAAATAGGTTTGTCATACATGACTTTGTTTCTGAACATTAGCTTCCACAGCCACAAAGCTGAGTGAAAAGAACAGATCCCTTTTTTTTTAGAAAAGCTATTTTAGCTGATAAAAATGAAACAACACTGAGGAGTTAGCAGAGCGTATCCACTTGGAAACAAAACACACCTTCAAAACCAGGCAATCTCTCAGAGCATACACACACAGGCACACACACATGCAAACCCTCCCTATAAAAACCCTTGATCAAGTAAATTAGGTGCAACATATTTCACAAGAAAATAAAGACTGTTTAGACTCAAAAGTGGTGTTTAAACAGAATAATTCCCAGCTTTAAAAGGTTGTGTAGGAATGATCTGACATACCACAAAACAGTAAAATGGATTGAAAGCAGTACAAGAAATGACCAAAGGAGACATCCCTGGAAACAGAAAAGAAATCCAGAAGACAGGAAATTTTCTTATATCCTAACTAACCACTGCAGCTTGAATGAGGCACAGAGGTTAACCACATTTTAATTCTCTCTTGTTCACAGAAATTGCAGTTTAATAGTCTTGAGACAGTTCTTGGGGTTGGAGGAGAGTGGGAAATCAATAACTTTTTCTTCAATTAATATCTCCTCCCCTTATTGATTATTTTGTGACTTTTTAATGAAACCCAGGTAGCTGCTCTTGAACTATCACTGAGACCAAATTATTGTGCTAAATCCAAATACAGCATTCTAAGACTTTGGTTTTTTTTTTAAAAAGTAAACCCAAATCACAATGAATCTAACCTTCTCTTGTACAAAATCCAAAATGTTCTTGAAGTCCAGGTCATCATAATAGTGTCTAATTCCCTCTTGGATGTTGGAATGGAAGACAGTATTCATCTGGGAAAATAAGAAAGAGAAACTCTATGTCACACTGTGAGAAGATGCTTGAAAAAAGATAGCAAGATAAAAAAGATATATATTAGGTTATACAGATGATTTTTATTACAGCAAATGACCTCTATCTTACTGCATCACTGTCAAAGGGTTTGACCTTATATATTCTGCAGCATTGTCACTTGGCAATTTTATTTGGAGTCTCAATATATGGTGTGTGTCTCAATGTTCCAATTACCAAGGACTGGAGATTACTTGAAACTCTCATCTTTCACTTAAGAAGATTAAAGCTTCTCATCATTGTTGGGAAGAAAGGTTGAAAACAAAGTCAAACCCTCAAAAACTAGAAGGCAAATGAATTTGCTTCTCAGCACACTGACTCCCACTCCTAGTCCACCGCTACATCTGCACAGGCAAGGGTGCCTAGGTCAATAGCTACCCTAGCCCTGGGGTGTTTTACCCAACAGGACGATCCAACCCTTTTATAGCCCCAAGCCACGTCTGCTCTAGAAGACGGTGTTCTTGCTCTTATGTTGTTCTCTTAATCCTGATCTTTCAAACAAGCTGAACTTTACAAGGCAGCAGCTCACTTCGGTAACTTGAGAAGCTATCATTTTGAATTCACCCGCAATACATGCTATTAACTCAGATGCTAGAAGGTTATGACACACTCCTCTAGCACAGACATCTAGATGGGCCACAAAACTCGCATGTCCCTCTCTAATCAGCGTTTCTTAAATACTGCATACTCATTTTGTTTTACAGGGTTACAGAAGATGAGAAGTAAGACTTTCAACCCTCCCCTAAGGCAATGGGACTTTTAGGGTGCCTATACAAGAGCAGGAAGGCTGCTCCGATATGCTGTAATTCCAATTACCGTGTTCCAGCAGCCTCCTGCATCTCATTCAGTGAGCTTTAGACAAAGTGGCCCTGCCCTCATTTTGAAGTGCAGGGATGCTGATACATGAGATGCTTCATGGCGCTTTAGTTAGAGTGGCTCTAGGAGCTTCTCTAATTAAAGCACTACCCCACCCCGGAGCATGTTTATACCTTTGAGTCCCATTCTCCAAAAATGACTTTTGACAATCTTATCCTGGGGCTGGCATTTCAATGTGCCTGAATAAACCAAGGTCCAAATTCCACTGACTCTCAATGGCCTTGGGGCATGTGCTCCTTTTTCCTTTACTCTTTTTTTTTCCTTCAAAAGGTGTGAAACTACCAGAATTTACTGTGAGGAATGGGATTTCTGAGATCTGTAGAAGTGCACAACTCCAGGCAGCATCACCTGGTTCTTCAAAAAAGCCACAAAGCCTTCATTCTCTATATAAGCACAGATTCTAGTAAATCAAAAAACTTTATCCACCTGCCTCATATTCTATTACCAAGATGCATGTAGGTATTGATTGAGGAAGCCAAAAGCATTGTAGTTTGTGTCAGTCTTAGAAATCCATCCACAGAACAGACTATTTTAGCCACAGCCAGCCCTAACTTCAGGGGACCTGAGAATTGTCCTTTTGCTTATGCTTAGTTGTACCAGATCAGATTCCCCCAACCCTGCAAGCCCCTTTCTCATCTTCTTAGATTGATTTTATTGTTCATATTTTCCTGTTTGTGTTTCAAAGGACTTTCTTTAAATCAAGCAGTAAGGACCTCTATGGTACAACGTGTAGGGTGAGAGGTGGCATCCCACTTCTGAGAAAGAAACAGTTATCAGGTAACTGCTTCTGAGTGCTGTAAGTGAATTGGTTCAACCGCTCACAGAGCTTCTCTTTGAAAACATATGCCCAAGAAGAGGTTCTGTTTATTAGAGATGGTGGGTTTTTTGGGGCTCCATACACCAAGCAGACAGGTAGCCATCTGCACTGCAGATCCCAGATTATCTACTCAGAACAAACAGCCCAGAATCTAATTATTTCTATGCTCTTGTTTTTCAAACTAAATGGATTCCTGGAATGGGAAGAGGGCTGGGCTTGTGGCAGAGACCTCCAGCATTTCTTCCTATGCTTCGTGTTAGCAAAAAATCTTTAGTGGGCAGAGTGTAACATTCAAAAAGCTCCTCTCTTCCTACATCTTTTTGGTATTAGGCATGCAATTCTATACTCAGTTAGATTAGCAGCATTCTTCCATCAGGATTGGACCTGTTCAGTAATGCCCCGCAGTCTCCAGGGATGCATCCTGCTTGAACTGCAGCTTTTCATGGGAGGTAAAACTCAAGTACTCAACTGGCTAGAATGGCATCTGTAGCCCCCTGCCTGCCCTTTGCTTTTTCTGCCAAGGCTGCCAAGCCTGGATGGGCCAAAGACCCCATACAAGAGACCCATTGGCAAAGGAGAGGAGGAAGCCCTGATAATGACTAACAGCGTGGTGTGACAGCTGTTTCACAGATACATAGAGGGTGGCACCTTCTAGGGCTAGCAACCTGGCGCTTCAGCATGACTCAACTAATTGGGGAAGGGAGTGAAGGGGATGCAAACAAACAAGCAATGGGGCTAAAGAATAGAGAAGAGTGAGGAAGCCGTCCCAGGGAACAAAACAGTTTACTAAAAAGTCCTGAAAACAAAGAGCTGTGAGTTTGCAAGAGTTCATAAAAGGAAAGGTATGTGAGAGAGCCAGTCTCCCTTCCAACTCACAGCACTGCCTGAGGAGATTACAGATTTGTCTAAAAAATGCTTTAGATTTTTTTTTCCAGGTAGGACACGATGATATTATGTAACATCCCAACACCTCACCAGCAAATAACGTTAACAAAAAAGATCACATCTAATATAATCTCCTCTGGTAGTCAGCAGAACTGAATCAGAACTTAAGATATCTTGGGAAGTTTGTACCCACTCATCCTGCAGGTTTTTTTCCCCTAACAACATACCTCTCGGAGCAGCAGAGCTATAGCCCTTCCAGATGAGGGTCAGAAAAGGAAAGAGCAGCTGAAGAAAAGCTAATCTCTGGTTAATTTTTGGTCTCTGCCAAAATTTTTCATGTGAGCTTGCCATTCTTGAATGGCACCCATGAAAGAGGAGACTGGAGTCTCTTAGCTATCCTGGGGAAAGTCCTCTCCTGGTCCACTTGCACCATTTGCCTGAGGAAAGATGCTAAGAGTCCTGCTCTCCTGCTTTCCGAATGGAATTGACCATTAAATAAACACACAATTTATTGAAGGCAGCTTTCTGCAGCAGGAGTCTGAGTTCATCAAAGAAAAGCAAAAGCTTTTCCAAATGGCAATACCTCTCCCCAGAACCCAGCCTTCCTTGTGGTAGAAGCAAACTGCTTAACTCCAGATAGCTGACCCAGTTCCTCCATGCTCACTGAGGGGCATTCAGCTGTGGTTTCTTCCTTAAGCATGTTAACTCTTTCTCTGTCAGCCAATACACAAGATCCCTTTTGCCATCTCACAGGGGGAAGACCACCAGGTACCGCCAAGACCACCTAGCCCCACTGCCAAAACTAAGTATAACTGTAGGTCTTTTATATGCCACTTCTGTTGTAGACTGGGGCACTGAAATAATTTACCTGCCTAGTCTCTCTTCATTAAAACAGAAGTGGCTAAGTCCTGTGGGTGAAGCCCACAGGGGAAAAAAAAGTCGATAGTTCTTTAGGTTTTCCCTCATACATTTAGTATTAAGGGGTGCATGTACATGCCATGATATTTGCCCTTTCAGGCATTGCAACTGCGTGTCTGTTTGCACGAGTGGGATTTCCTGACATTTTTTAAAAGTCTTTTTGGTGCATTAAAGTAAAACTGCTTGGACATATAATTTATGACTGGGTATTAGGGGTGTGCGAAGCGGGCCCTATTTGATTCAGATTTGGCCTGAATCGGGGACAGTGATTCGATTCGTTGATTCAGATTACTGTCTCTGATTCGATTCGGCCGAATCTGAACCTGAAGATTCGATGCCGATTTGGAGAATCAGAGATTCGGCCATAGACACGGCTTTAAATGTTTTTTCTACGTACCTTGAGGTACCAGGCGTGGCTCGTGACCGCTGCAATGCTGGGGCAGATGGTGCATCCCACAGGAGCGCAGGGCCCACCCCACCACGTGCTCAGTGGTGAACCTGGAAGTGGACCAGAAGTACTTTCGATCCACTTCTGGATCCACCTGGGAACTCATTGGGGGGGGCCCCCATCTTCCTCTGTCTCTGCAATCAGCTGCGGCAGGACCCCGGGTGCCCCCCAGACCCAAGAGGCACCAGTCACTGAGCCCGGGGGGGGCACGGGGGAAGACCCAGAAGTGGGTCAGAAATGCTTTGAGGCCCCCATGCTTCTGTGGGATGCTGCATCCACCCCACCATTGCAGCATTCATGAGCCACCTGTTATCTTGAAGTATACAGAAAAAACATTTAAAGCTGTCCAAATTGCTGAATCTTTCTGAATCTCTCCAAATTGATTCAGAGAGCTCTGATTCAATTCAGAGAGATTAAAGGATCTCATGATTCAATTTGGATTTGGAGATTCAGCCACCAAATCAGGCCGAATCTCCGCCGAATCGAGTCAGGGACCGAAGCTTTGCACAGCCCTACTGGGTATCATATCACTAACCTCCCCACACCCCCTCAGTCAGGCTGTGTCTTTAGAGGTGGAAAAGAACTGTTACATCAGGGGCAGAAAAAAGATAAGTCTGAGGTGAAAACTCATAAAAATGCCGAGCTTTATCTGCAGCCTGTACCTGTTCCCCAACCCCTTTTTCTCCCCACCCCCGTCTCTGGACCTGCACAGAGCCATACTGTACAAGTCCCACTGGCATCAGGCCTGGCATCTGGCAAAATACTGCCAGAGCTACAAAGGGAAGAGGAGGCCCCTTTGGAGCATTAGCACTATGTTTCAATCTTTAACCAGCACTTTCAGTAATTTAATTGTGCCCAAAGTTATGTTAAGGGAGAAAGTAGTAGCCAGTTGAGGACTCTTCCAGTAATTCCTAGAGCGGGTTTCATTGAGGTTACTCTGACATGCTGGACACTTCAAATTAAGCAGTAATTGAATATAAAATGCATCTTACAGATGT